TGTACATGTATCTTGATAATTTATAAATCTACTGTGATCTATAATTCAACAAAATCCATTACCGTGACTATTTTTAAAAGTCAAAAATTAAAACATTCTTAATATCTAAATTTGAAACTTTATTAAAATGTATGTGAAAGTTCAAAGAAAAACGATTTCTAACACCCTTATATACTAGAGAAATTTTGTTTTGCTTGCTCTCTTTTCATTTAACTTGATGGGTGAAAGAATTTAGTTGAACTTCATAACTTAAGAACTGTTAGTGAAAATTGTCAAGTAAAAGGAAAGCCCTATATCTAAAAAAGATTTTGTGAACAATTATGCCATCAACCTTTAAAGATTTTAAACCTACCCAGAAATCCACCTCATTATCTGAAGTTTCCCTCTGTCTCCTCCTCTAATTAAGCTTGTTAATGGTTATGCACCAGCATTGGAAATAATAAAATTTCTTGTTCTATGTATTTTGTTTGGCTAATAATATTGTATACATACTTTCTCTGTGTCCTACTTTTTTATTGTATGTATTATTGCAGCCACTTTATGATTTAAACTTAACCAGTATTTATAAGGGAAAATGATTCGGCTTCTAATACCTGATTTACAAATTAATTTCTGTAAATTAACTTAGTAAGTATTGCCTGTAAGAATTTGCAACAGAAAAACCTGTCCTATCAATGAGTGTGTTGCTGTGGTTATTTTATGAAGATGTTAAAGTTCATGAAAGCAATTACTTCAGAATTATGCCCAGCAAAATGAGTATATACACAGGTTTTATCATCAATAAAAAGGCACCAGATGCCCCTGCTCCTTTATGGTAGTAAAGGATGTATCCAATACAGCAGGGTAACTCAGAACCTAATTTATTTTATAGTCATTTCTATCTTGGGGGCGGGGGGGGGGACTGTAGAATATAGGTCTGTGACAAGTAAGGATGATTATAATTGCTCAAAAACTAGCTTGGTTGGGTGGGGAAGGGAGAGATGGAGGAAAAAGACTAGACTGGAAGTAAATGTTGGCACTTACACATCTTAATCCTTCTGCCTCTCCCATACTTGCCCTCTTCCATTGCTTTCTCAAATAGCTTGTAGCTGCAGTCAGATGAATTTGTGGGTAGATAATTAATTGCAAGTGTAATGTAAATTAACAGTACTTTTACGGGGGGGGGGGGGGGGAAGAACACCAGTGCAGAATAAATTGGCCAGTTGCATTTACCTCCAGATGAAGATGCCTGGAAAGACAGGCTGAGAAAAAAGTGCTAAAAACTGGGAGGTTGTGATTCGGTTTCTCTCGGGGGCAGAGTGGGGAGCAAAGCTGGGAGGGAACCAATCCCTGTTAGATTTGAAGGCTCATCTTGGAGAGACCTGAGCTCTGCAACTGACTGAAGGTTGGTTAGTTGGTCTTAAAAATAGGCAGTAAGCCAAGAGACCACTGATGATAATACTTGTTCATATTTCCTGAAGATAGAAAATGGTAACATTTTAACAACCCTTTTAGGAGTGTAAAATCACTTGTATTTCTTTTAAACATTACAGTTATCACAGACTGGAACCAGACTACCTGATTCAAATTTGGGTTCCACTGCTTATTAACTCAGTAACTGTTAAATACTTAATTTCTCTGGCTTGGCTCCTAAACTGAAAATAGGGATAAAAGCATGTACAAATTGTGAGGATTAAATGAAGATGTATATACATATCTTCATTTAATAGGAATTAAAGGGAAAAGTTCTGGGGAAGTTTTAATACTGATTTTGCAATGGGGGAGAGGGAGGAGATGTGGAATAGGGGTAAGGAATTTAAAGAAGTTTATAAATACATAGTGTGATTGGGGACGGTTTCCCAGACCTATCGGTATGTATTATAAATGTTTGCTTAGATCATATGTCCCACGTTGACTACCCTCAGACCACAGATCTATTTTGTTTGGCTCATGCTTATAATTTTAATTTAATTAGACACCAACATCTCAATCCAGAGATTTCTATCTCCCCCCCACCCCCACCCTCCCAGCAAAAGTGGAAGATCTGGCAGCCCTTAACCTACAGTCTTACATGGCAAAAAGCATCTGATTCACACTCCCAGGTTCCCCAGTGTTGTCTCCCAAACATAGAGGCTAAGTAGCAGTGGCCGTCATTTATCACTGTGCTTGCACCATTGTTTTTTCTTGCACCTAGACAGTTTGCATTACCCTCCTGGCCTCTAGATATTTGAAGTTGCCTCTCCTCATGGAGACTAAATGATGTCTCCATTTCCTGCCTGTCTTATCTTTATCTCTTCATTATGCTTCTCAGTTCAGTAGCTGTTAGAGTTGGTGATAGTTTTAGAAATGAGTGAAGAATTAGTGGGAGCAGGAGCTACTGAGATTCTGACACTTTTGCTTAACACCCTAAAATACTATATTAAAGTATGTCAAGAAAGTCTGTTGCTTGGATTTTAAAACAAAGAATTTACAGAAACTCCTATAACTTGCCTTTGCAAAATGTGTTTTCCCACCCTAAATTATAGTAATTTTTTTACATTGCAGACACTGTGTGTTTTATATAATTTCATTTTCTACCTCTAAGGATCTATGAAACATTTTCTGGGAATGAACGGTTATATTCTTAATGTCCTCAGTGACTGAAGATAAATGTGAACCATTTGACCCATAAATGCTGTCATTTATTAATATATTCATAAACTTGAACCTGTTTATGTTTTCAGTCCAAAGTATCTCTTAGTTAAGTGGGGGACAGGGAAGGCATTAGTATTTCTTTGTATTTATCTTAGAACCTCCAGGGATAGCTTTCTTTAAGGATTTAATAAATTCTTTTGTCACGCTACATACATAAGGTCTCTCTTCTCTGACACCTTCATCCCTTGAACATTTTAGTTGCCCTTTTCATGAGACTTCAACTCAAGCTTCAAGCTTCTTGAGTTGAAGCATCATTGGTGAAAATTCTCCACCCCGCCCCCCCACCCTCCCACCCCCACCCTGCAGTCGTTTCTCTCAGGCCTGCACAATAGCTCAAAATAATTATTAAAAATCAGTCGCTGGGTCTGAGATCAATGAAATCCTAACTTTCGCCCTCACTCTAGCAGTGGGCTGAACACAACCCCATTTCATACCACCACTGCGAAAAAGATGTGAGTTACTCTCAAAAGCACATCATTGCTATAGCTACTGGTGCACACAGAGGAAGCCATATGTGCACAATGTCCCTGCCTCAATTTTGCCTGAAAGATTATGAGTGTGTAGTAATATCACCTCTAACTGCTGTGGCCTGAAGAAAAGCAGTGGAGGGGAAAGAAGCTGAGAATAAACTGTGACCCACCTCATGTACCACAACCCTATTCTTCATAAATCCCCCATTCACTTCAGGTACCACACTGAAAGGGCATTTTAAAAATGATCATTAGATTCCACACATAAGGCTGACACCACGATGGCTCCAGCTTTGCCTACTCTCTCTCTCTTAAAAAACTCTGTGATAATTCAAGGGCTCCTATACGCAGTGAGATCTCACAACTAGAAGCATCGAGCCTCCATAGTACCACACATGTGAGTGAAAACTAAAAATAAATTTTGCATCTACACGTCTTGAGGTCAAAGCGTATGAATGTGTTCCATCTTCCAAGTGTAGCACAAAATGTTATGCTGTCACTATGCCAATGGTATTACCTCTCTTGGATAATCAGTCAAGACCCAACTAGGTAGGAATCTATTCTGAACTATTTCATAAGCATTTTCCTCTAAGGTGTTTCATACTATCACATAAGCAATGTATTTTATTCTGGTTTTGAATTTAGAAAATAAAGCAGCCTACAAAACCTATACTTATATGTTACTGATAATTTTATAATTTTATATATTATATAGGCTTTCCCTGTTAAGTACTGACTATATGTAAAGGTCTCTGAGAAAGAATGTTTGAGTAAATAATAATAATAGGTACCATGTGACCATCACTGTGCCAAGCAAATTTACATCCAGTACCTCGTTTAATCCTCTAAATAGCGCTTCAAGACACACTGCTAAATCCATCCTCTCAGAAACCCTATGAACAGGTATTGTAATCTTTATTTCACTGATGTGGAAAACTGAAGCTCAGAGCAGTAGGATAACTTGCTAGTAAGTGACAAAGCCAGCATTTCAACTCATATATGACCTCAAAGCTATATATGTTTTTGTGTTTTATCATTGCCAAGTATACATTAAACCTTCCATGAGTCCTTGATCGACAGCACTCCATACAGTAAAACTTTAAATATTAAGAATCTCAAATCACTACATCAGACAAAGAGAAAAATCAGACTCTAACACACCTAAATAACTTGATATAAGGAATTTACCTTAAAAGATTAACAGCAAGTCAAAAAGAGTGTCCTAGTTTAGGTATATAGTTAGCCAAATGCCTGTATATCTTTTAAATTTGCTTCAGCAATGCTGTTCCATGAGAAATGAGGATTGTAATGAAAACTCGAACACACTGTGGTATCATAAATCATCAAGGAAGAAAAAGTTATTTTTGTGCAATAACATTTCAGAAAGCTTTTCAACCACAAGAGTTGGAAGAAAATGTGTTCTGCTTAATTTCAATTAGATAGAACATTAACCCTAACATCACCTTTCCCCTTTGTCCCTCATCTGCACCCTACTCCAACACACAGTCTGATAGTTCTGATAATGGAATTGCTTTCTTTTTGGGGAGCATTGGCAGAGACTAAGCAATGGCCAATTCAAGGATATGAGTCGCCAGATGGTATTTACTATGTTCTTTGCACCTTAGTTCTTCATACAAAGCCGATTAGGTAGGGGCAAGTATGTAAGCAGTTAAATGCTCCAGTAATGGGTTAGTAATGTTCTAATTATTGTTGTACCTAACTCTTGGGCAGATTTTTTCCCTTGTGCCTTATTAGATTGTGAGCATACTCTGTCTGAAACTTTGTTCTCTATATTACCCAGACTTCTCTGGAAAAATAGACGATATATTAAACTGTAAATGACATTCACGATCTTACCTGTTGGTTTTCAAGATTCATCAACGTGAGGCTGCATGTTGAGATGGTCAGTTTTATATTCATTCCCGAAAACTGAAGATTACTTTTGCCAAGAACAGTTGATAGGAACTTAACTGGAGGCTTTAAAAATAACAAAGCAACACTCTAAGTTATGGATTTTGTCATAAAATGAATGTTAATGTTCTGTAAATGTTAAAAATGGGTCAAAGCTCATACTCTTCCTCTGTATTTTGCTTTATATAAATCACATGAGATGAAATGATTTTTTGTTAAATAAAAATGTTTTTAAAAATTGTAATATAGCAAATACTTTTGTAAGTAGTGAAATTTGAGCCCTCCAAACTTTTCTCATTCACTTCTCCCCAAGTGTTGGGAGTGGGGCCTGTTTTATATAAATGAATTCCAGTGAGAATTTAGACCAGCTCAACTCCTCAGTCCTTTTCAACATCACAAGTCTAAAAAAAAAAGAAAACGGTAATCCACTGAATCTAACACCACTGAAGGCATTGATGAAGACTTTCAAAGTAAGTCACTGCTTCCTTCCTTGAAGTCATCCCTGTTCCTTCCTCATCTTTCCCTTGCTAGAGTTTAAAAGGCCTCTCTAGCAGCCTAATCTTCATCTCCAAGCAACCACAATGCCTGAAATTCTAGAACTCTTAGGTTAAATCATTGCTTTCAAAAAGTCCCTGCTATTAAAATAAACATATATTACTAGGAAGGGGTTAGCCCATTTCACATTAACTCATTAATGGAGATTGTTTGCCAGAATTTATTAATAAAAATTTAGAGGAAGATCCTGAGGAAAGGGACATATTTTGATGAAAGTTGAAATTCTGGAGCAGGCATTTCTCAGGGAGAGGAGGTCTGGGGGTTAGATGAAGAGTCATTCGAGTAAGGGGTACCCAGGAATTATAAAGGCACTGGGGTCATAAGTGGGAAAAGAGGTACCAACAGAGGGATGAGAGGTTGGGTTGATTTTCTCAAGCAGAAGTGCCACTTAACAGATGTGTGACCTCGGACAAATAACTTTTCTAAGCTTCAATGTTTTTTGTATATAAAAAGTGAAAAAAACAGTAGTCACCCATAAGGGCTGTTGTGAAGATTAAATTAGATAATAAATGGAGAGTGTTTAGCGCAGTGCTTGTTTGGGTACACGAGAGCTGCTAGTATTACTACTACTACTACTACTACTACTACTACTACTATTATTATTATTATTATTATTATTATTATTATTATTATTATTATTTCTAATGATTAGATTCTAAGAGAAGATTTGAGAGATTTAAATACTGTGACGGGTGCTTGGATTAAGTCTTGAAATCCTCTGCTGGAAATTGGGCCAGTTGAGGATGGAAAATTAGTGATTCCTCAACATATGGATCAATACTTTGAGGCAATGAAAACATAATTTGTTTCTTACATAGTTTTGCTTGTACAAGTATATTACTTTGATTACCTATGGAATCACACCAAGCCATTATACCTACATTGTTGAAATTCAATGTACAGTATTATTTTTAATTCTAAGCACATTTTAAAATGTACTGCAAACCATGTGAGTAAGAAGCCTCAAATATCATAGGTATCTCTCATAAAGTTGATTCTTGGTCTACTTCTTTGCTTACCGTATGGCCCTGGCAAGACAAGCCAAACAATTCATGGATTTTGTGTCCCACAGTGATTGTATTTAATAGCATATCACTAATTTGCTTCTCTAGAGTTTCTTTTCCATGCTAGGTTTTAAAGAATTACTATTAAATATCAGTTAAATAATAATGCTATCTCACACTTAAAAAGCACTTTGTTATTTGTAAAGAACTTTTACATACTTTCTATTAATTTCGTCTTCACAATAACCTAACCTTGTGAAAAACACCCAAAATGTATTTATTGTACAGAAGATAAACTATTTCATTCCATTATTAGAAATGACCTAACATTTAAATGGCNTATTGTACAGAAGATAAACTATTTCATTCCATTATTAGAAATGACCTAACATTTAAATGGCTCATGGAAGAGAAAGAACATGGGTTTCAGGCAAGAACAGCAGAGTGGAAAGCATACAGGATTGGCAGTGAGACAACTTGGATTCAAGCGCCAGGGCACCATAGGAAACTCCTTGAACCCTTCTCAATGTCTTTGTTTACAAAACAGGAATAATAACATGATTTCCATTCATCCACCTCTAGCCCTGGGAGGTCTTGGAAGAATTGAATTCAGTAATAAAGTATATGAAAACGCATAGCATACAGTAAGGTGCTAATAGACTGTAATGATTATAATTACTACTTTTTAAATGAATTCTGGGAATTTTGCTGCAGGATTTCTTCTTTGAGAAAGAGAGAGGGAGGAAACTGTATAGACCCTGGCCCTTGGAAGAGGTCACTACAGAAATGGGAAGGGAAGGGAACAGAAAGGAGAGGCTGAGGATGTGATAATTCCCAATTTTTACTGAAGAGTGGAGGCAGGCCAGGCAGGGGTGATTTTCCACACTTTATAAATGAGAAAACTCGAAAGGTAGGAAAACTTTAATTGACATTAATGAATTAATTTATTGGTACCAACACAGCAGCCTGGCTCTTCTGACTCTGTATCACACAGTCTCTCCAGAACCTCCAGTTCTTTTGGTTGTTCATTAACTTTTAGACTTCAGAACTCATGGAATATACATAAGCAGGTAAATCCTTAGCCCTCCAAACTGCCTGTATTGAAAGAGCCCACAGAACTAACAAAATCAAAAGGAGATCCTGAACATGTTCACTTGGCCTTGAATAGTTTTTGGCTCTTCACCCTGGGGGAGATGCTAGGCCAGAGAGGCAGATAACACTGTGGTCAGGAGTGTGGATTGTGCATCCAGACTGCCTGGCCTAGACCTGGTTCTTCTACATACCGACTGGGTCACTGAGCAAGTTACTTAACCCCTCTGGGCCCCAGTGTCCTCATCTGTAAAATGGGAATACATAATAAAACCTGGTTTAGTTTTTTTGTGCTGATTAACAAAGTGCAAAAAATACAGCATTCCAAAACTAATGCGACACAGTGAAAGCAGTGTTAAGAGGGAAATGAATAGCTATAAACACTTACGTTACAAAAGAAAAAACATCTTAAATCAAAAACCTAATTTTACTCTTAAGGAACTGCAAAAAGAACAAATTAAACACAAAGGTACAGAAGGAAGGAAATTATAAAGGTTAGAGCAGAGACAAAAGAAATAGAGAACAGAAAAACAATGGGAAAAAAATCAACTAAACCAAACGTTGGTTCTTCAAAAAAATCAACAAAAATGACACCCCTTTAGCTAGATGGACTAAGAAAAAAAAAAAGAAAACTCAAATTACTAAAATCAAAAATGAAAGTGGGGACATTACTACCAATTCTACAGAAATAAAAAGGATTCTAAGAGAGTACTATGGATAACCTAGATAAAACGGACAAATTCTTAGAAACTCAACACCTACCAAGACTAAATCACAAAGAAATAGAAAATCTGAACACACTTATAACTAGTCAGAAAACAGAAAATAAGTGTTGGCGAGGATGTGGAGAAATTGGAACCCTTGTGCACTTGGTTGGAATGTAAAATGGTACAGCCGCCTTGGAAAACAGTACGGCAATTCCTCAAAAAATTAAAAACAGAATTACCATATGATCCAGAAATTTCACTTCTGGCTACATACCTACAAGAGTTTTTTTGTTTTGTTTTTATTCCTTTTTGTCTTTTTTCGTGTCTGGCAACAGATCGCAACCCTCAGTGTCGCGCCCGTACCAGACCGGGACCGGCAACAGGATCGCAAACCTCGGTGCTGCGCCCGCACCTCGCTCAGCCAGTGAGCAGGAACTGGTCTGTATGTGGGATCCGAACCCTCAGCGGGAGCGCCGCCATGCTCCCAAGCGGCGCACTGTAGCAGTGCGCCACCGGGCCTGCCCAACATACCTACAAGAGTTGAAAGCAGAGTGTTGAAGAGAAATTTGTAATCCACATTCATAGCAGCATTATTCACAATAGCTGAAATGTGGAAGCAACGCACATGTCCATTAACAGATGAATGGATACGTAAAATGTAGTATATGCATACAGTGTAATATTACACACTCTTAAAAAGGAAGGAAATTCTGACATATGCTACAACATGGACGAACCTTGAAGACGTTATGCTAAGTGAAGAACTAACAAAATCAAAAGGAGATCCTGAACATGTTCACTTGGCCTTGAATAGTTTTTGGCTCTTCACCCTGGGGGAGATGCTAGGCCAGAGAGGCAGATAACACTGTGGTCAGGAGTGTGGATTGTGCATCCAGACTGCCTGGCCTAGACCTGGTTCTTCTACATACCGACTGGGTCACTGAGCAAGTTACTTAACCCCTCTGGGCCCCAGTGTCCTCATCTGTAAAATGGGAATACATAATAAAACCTGGTTTAGTTTTTTTGTGCTGATTAACAAAGTGCAAAAAATACAGCATTCCAAAACTAATGCGACACAGTGAAAGCAGTGTTAAGAGGGAAATGAATAGCTATAAACACTTACGTTACAAAAGAAAAAACATCTTAAATCAAAAACCTAATTTTACTCTTAAGGAACTGCAAAAAGAACAAATTAAACACAAAGGTACAGAAGGAAGGAAATTATAAAGGTTAGAGCAGAGACAAAAGAAATAGAGAACAGAAAAACAATGGGAAAAAAATCAACTAAACCAAACGTTGGTTCTTCAAAAAAATCAACAAAAATGACACCCCTTTAGCTAGATGGACTAAGAAAAAAAAAAAGAAAACTCAAATTACTAAAATCAAAAATGAAAGTGGGGACATTACTACCAATTCTACAGAAATAAAAAGGATTCTAAGAGAGTACTATGGATAACCTAGATAAAACGGACAAATTCTTAGAAACTCAACACCTACCAAGACTAAATCACAAAGAAATAGAAAATCTGAACACACTTATAACTAGTCAGAAAACAGAAAATAAGTGTTGGCGAGGATGTGGAGAAATTGGAACCCTTGTGCACTTGGTTGGAATGTAAAATGGTACAGCCGCCTTGGAAAACAGTACGGCAATTCCTCAAAAAATTAAAAACAGAATTACCATATGATCCAGAAATTTCACTTCTGGCTACATACCTACAAGAGTTTTTTTG